CTCCGCCTCCTCCTCCTCCTCCTCCTCCTCCTCCTCCTCCTCCTCCTCCTCCTCCTCCTCCTCCCTCCTCCTCCTCCTCCTCCTCCTCCTCCTCCTCCTCCTCCTCCTCCTCCTCCTCCTCCTCCTCCTCCTCTCCCTCCTCCTCCTCCTCCTCCTCCTCCTCCTCCTCCTCCTCCTCCTCCTCCTCCTCCTCCTCCTCCTCCTCCTCCTCCTCTCCTCCTCCTCCTCCTCCTCCTCCTCCTCCTCCTCCTCCTCCTCCCTCCCTCCTCCTCCTCCTCCTCCTCCTCCTCCTCTCCTCCTCCTCCTCCTCCTCCTCCTCCTCCTCCTCCTTCCTCCTCCTCCTCCTCCTCCTCCTCCTCCTCCTCCTCCTCCTCCTCCTCCTCCTCCTCCTCCTCCTCCTCCTCCTCCCTCCTCCTCCCTCCTCCTCCTCCTCCTCCTCCTCCCTCCTCCTCCTCCTCCTCCTCTCCTCCTCCTCCTCCTCCTCCTCCTCCTCCTCCTCCTCCTCCTCCCTCTCGTCTCCCTACTTCTCCTTCTCCCTCCTCCTCCTCCTCCTCCTCCTCCTCCTCCTCCTCCTCCTCCTCCCTCCTCCTCCTCCTCCTCCTCCTCCTCCCTCTCCTCCTCCCTCCTCCCCCTCTCTCCCCTCCCTCCTCCCTCCCTCCCTCCCTCCCTCCCGCCCCTCCCTCCCCCCCTCCTTCCCTCCCTCTCTTCTCCTCCTCCTCCTCCTCCTCCTCCTCCTCCTCCTCCCCTCCTCCTCCTCCTCCTCCTCCTCCTCCTCCTCCTCCTCCCTCCTCCTCCCCTCCTCCTCGCCTTCCAGCGCCGCACCTCTGACCGCAGGCTGCGGGAGCAAGAACAATGCAGGCCTTGGAACAAAAGTTAGAACACTCATGCCACATTCGCCTGAGCGATGATCAAAAACGGGTCTTACGCGAGATGACGTAGCGACCTTGCGCGTGGCTTGCGCGGGCCGCCGGCGCGGCACGCTACACTGGAAGCGAGGGCGCTTACGCGCGACCTTACGCGGGCAGCTTACGCGCCAACGTCGGCGAAGACGACACCGTTTGCTTGCGTCGCTCATCTGGCAATGCCCCCCCGTGGTGGGTTAAACGAGCTGCACTTCGACCGCAGTCTTCCCCCGCGCCTGCCAACTTTGCACTCGGCGGAGAGGGGGGGATGTTCCACGGACTGGGGCACCCATCAGCGCGCGAGGCCCAGAGGTCCCCGGGGGCTCCACAGTGGCGCGAGGCGCTGGGGACGGCTTCGGGCCAGGACCACCTCGAGCAGCACCCGAGCCGGCGCCCCTGCTGCCGAGCAGACGCCACGCCTCCGAGCCAGGAGCGACGAAGGAGCAGCGACGAAGCAGCAGCACGCCGACTGGCTCACCGCGGCGGCGTGCCGCAGGGCACTGCTGCCTCCCCTTCCGACGGGCGGCCGACCCCAGGCGCGACACGCCGCCGCTGCCGAGGCTCCCCGCGCGGGCGCCCACACCCGCCAAGGCCGCCGACGGCGAGGGCCACGCCCGACGAGCCACGAGGGTCCGGTGCCAGTTCTGGGGGCCTTCCTGAAGCCACTCGCCTCCTCCTCCTCCTCCTCCTCCTCCTCCTCCTCCTCCTCCTCCTCCTCGTCAACTGGAGCCGAGCCTGGGTCGCACACATCCACTAGGCGGCCCCCCGGGGGGGTCCCAAAAACGAGCATCCAACGAGGGGAGGGCGCCCTCGGACCCTGACGTCCTCTGATGTGACTTCTTCGATCCGCGGCCCCAGAGGTCCCGACCCCTTCCCTGGGGGTCGTTTCGCGTCCCGGAACCGTTCTTTATGTCCCTGGGGCCCGAGGACGGCCCCCCAGAGGCCGGAATCGCGGAAATCCGTCTGGATGGAAAAAATCAGATCGTCGGAGGTCTGGGTCGGATGATGCTAGAGGAAAAAAGAACGCCATAAACATATACGTTTGGCGCTCCGCGTGGATTTCGTGGACCTGCGCTGAACCCCTCTCCGAGGCCCCCTCCCGGAGCGCGCCAGAGCGGCGCCAGAGGCGCCGCTAGGGGGGGCCCGCCGTGGATCCAAGAAAGTTGCGCGGATAGCCAAACGTTGATGTTTATGGTTAGGTCGGACATGTCCTCCTAAAGGCGGATTGATGAAAACTACAAAATAGCCCCCCCCCCTCAAAAAAAAAAAAAGTACACACGTAAAATAGTCAAACAACTCGCCCCAGCCTTTTTTCTGACTATTTCTGAATCTTCCTCCTGCAGCAGGACAGGCCCGTTGCTCTTATTCGAGGTGCGCGCGCTCGGCGCGCGGCGAGGAGCCGCGAGCCGCGCGGGGCGGCGCGTGAGCGCCTCGAAGCCTGCAGGGCCGCCTCGGGGCAGCGCTGGAACGGGGGGCGCCTCCTGGGTGGGGGGGGGCGGCCGGGCACGGCCACTCCACACATCGGCGGGGGCGCGCCTCCTCCTCCTCCTCCTCCTCCTCCTCCTCCTCCTCCTCCTCCTCCTCCTCCTCCTCCTCCTCCTCCTCCTCCTCCTCCTCCTCCTCCTCCTCCTCCTCCCTCCTCCTCCTCCTCCTCTCCTTCTTCCTCCTCCTCCTCTCCTCCTCTTCCTCCTCCTCCTCCTCCTCCGCCTCTCCTCCTTGCCTCCTCCTCCTCCTCCTCCTCCTCCTCCTCCTCCTCCTCCTCCTCCTCCTCCTCCTCCTCCTCCTCCTCCTCCTCCTCCTCCTCCTCCTCTCCTCCTCCTCCTCCCTCCTCCTCCTCCGCCCTCCTCCGCCTCCTCCTCCTCCTCCCTCCTCCTCCGCCTCCTCCTCCTCCCTCCTCCTCCTCTCCTCCTCCTCCTCCCTCCTCCTCCTCTCCTCCTCCTCCTCCTCCTCCTCCTCCTCCTCCTCCTCCTCCTTCCCCCCTCCTCCCTCCTCCTCCTCCTCCTCCTCCTCCTCCTCCTCCTCCTCCTCCTCCTCCTCCTCCTCCTCCTCCCCGTCCGGAATGCTGTCCAAGCCAGGACGAATCTAGGACAAGCACAAGCTCTGGCGAGGATAACTGGAGAACCTCTGAGATCCAGCGGCTCTGGAGGATGTATCGGCCGACACGGCCTTCTCAGAGCGTTCCGGAGCGCTCTGGGACGGATTTGTCGTCGTCCTAGCCCCGTCCACCAAACTCTCGCCGGGGCGCGCTGGTGTGGATCGGCGCGGCGCAGGAGACGGGGTCCGCAGCTCCGTGGGGCCCCGACGCCGTGGTTTCTCCTAGCATCGGGGGCCTTGATACTCTCAGTCTGACTCTCCACTTGTAGGAGGAGGAGGAGGAGGAGGAGGAGGAGGAGGAGGAGGAGGAGGAGGACTAGGGTCTGGACCCTCATCCAACTGACCGTCTCGACGGGGTCGACCAGAGAGAAGCCTTGGGCTTTTTCGGGCGTCGGCTACAATCCCGCTGGGAGCAAACGACCACGAATGATGATGCCGAGACAAAACAACGAAAGCTCAAGCTAACCAAACAGCCCGCTTCACATACATGGTGCGAGCAATAGGAATGTAAGCCTTCTTCGAAGTACATCCCAGTACTCGTAGACGACTGGTAAAGTGGACACACATGGGAATCATACGACCATGCGACCTGCATCCTAGAGATCGAAATATGGAAGGTGCCAAGGGTGATACGACTCATCCTTCTCACGGAATGTGACTGACAGCTACGCTGAGCGAAAGAGGGCTGATATGAAACTGCTGATGCAGCTGAGACTGCAGCTAAGCTAGGCTGCGCTAGCTGAGTGAAGCTAGCAACGGGCGGAAACTTTGTTCATTGTGTCGCGGATGCGGCCATGGCGGCAAGCTATGCCCTGCAAGCGGATAGCGTGTCGCTGCGCTCCGCGGGGCGCGAGGCTGCGAGAAGCGCGGGACACTAGTGCTCAGGGACCTGGGACGTGGATAGCATGTCGCGCCGAAGCGTGCTGGGCCAGCACCGGCGGAGCCACACGCTGACCAGACGTTCCTGATCGTAGAGCCCCAGGCCAACAGCCCAGCGCCACAATCCGGGCCAGAGCTCTATAACCCAGAACCCGCTGGCTTGGACCCCTGCCTGGCCGCCCATCCAACATGTTCAACGCCAGTCCACTAAGCAGACAGCAACCCCGATAGGCCGCACGCCAAGCTGGGGAAATACCGCGACGTGCCTCGACCGCTGGGAGCACAAGAGAATCCCACACGAAAGCGGAGTCGAGAACTCTCGCTCTGCACGTTATGACTTGGCACGAGAAGCGGGGTTCCGAGGGAAACGGGCCCTGGACTACAGGCCTCTCCACAGGACCAGTGTTCCTTCCTGGGCCGCTTCCTGATAGGCCCCAGGACCCCGCCAGAGCTCTGATGGGGGCCGAAGAGCGGCGAAGGAGCTCAGGATATGCGCACCTCCTCGGGACATCCTTTGCCTCAGAGGTCAGAGCTCACGCGCGCGGAGGCCGCACGCGCCCCACGAGCGGAGACGGCGTGGGGCAATTAGACAGCGGCACACCCGTTAAGGCTTCGGGTCGCGCACAGAGGGCCCCCCCCCCCAGGTACTCCAGGCTGCCATCAGCAGGCCCCCCGAGCAGCCCCAGCTGGCCTCCACAGGCCCCCCGAGTAGCCCAGGGCGGTCTCGACACACCCCAACGCAAGGGGCACGGAGCGCCCCAGGGACGCTGCCGGAGGCGGCGACGGGATGTTGTCAGACTGCTCGGGGGGCATGTGGGGACTACCCGGGGTGGCCTTGGAGGCCTGGAAGTGGGCACCAACACCAAGACAGGGGGCTGCCTCCACAGGGAGGAGATGATCCTAGATTTCGGCGTTGGTGGTAATACTTTGGTCACCTTGGAAGCCAGAATATTACCACCGTCGCCGAGTTCGGGATCGTCTTCCATCGGTGGAGGCACACCGCCGATCTCGGTGTTGGTGTCAACCTCTAGGCCTGCGATGGCCGTCTGTTCGCAACCCGAAACCCTTCCACACGCAACCATCTAATGACGAAGCTGCTGGCAAGCCACTGCGCAGCCGTGAGACCTACGAGATGATCACCGCCATGTCCTCCGCACGACGGCACGGTCCCCTGCAGGCCCTCGGAGCGGCTCATGGCCCAAGAGCCATCTCGGTGTGCTCCTCTCCGAGGTCTCGCGCGGTCCATTCCGCCCGCCCTGCGGTCCCAACTCCGAGGGCCCGCCCGGGCTCGGGACTACCTTCTCACGAGAGGCAGTAGCATCCACATCCGCAACCTCGCGGTCTGGATTCTGAGGCGCGATCCCGCGGATACTTCTTAGTCAGCGGCAGCGGGCGAGCGCGCCGGCGGCGAGTCAGGTCAAAGCGGGCTACGCAGAGACGAATTAAGCGAAGGCAGCGCGAACAGGCCACGTCTAACGCAGCAAGCGATCCCGCGGATACGCGGTCGCACGGATACGCTCCGCGCGGGGCATCCGCGAAAACACGCCCCGTGTCCGCAGGGTCACGGCACGGGTGCCCGGGCCGCGAGGCCGCGGGTACGCATACGTTCTTCGCCCACGACTTTCGTCGTCTCAGGCCAGAGAGGCCGATATCGGAGGCCTAGAAATAGGCACCAACACCAACACAAGGGGTTGCCTCCACAGGGGGAAGGGGATCCTAGATTTCGGTGTTGGTGGCAATACTGCGGTCGCCTTGGAAGCCTGAGTATTACCACCATCACCGGGATCGGGATCTTCGGCACACCGCCGATCTTGTTGGTGTTAACCTCTGGGCCTGCGACGATAAGCAAAACGACAATAAGTTCCGCATCGGGCTCAGTATATTGCGATCCGTTGCCGGTGCGGAATACAAGAACGAATCCCTGCGCAGCTTGCGTGCAAGAGCTCTCTGTTATATCCGGTGCGTCTGACGCCGGGCGAGGCAGCCCGGGCCCCGGACATCGGTGGTCCATCGTGGCCCCCAACGTGGCTCCCCACCGTAGACCACCATCATGGCCACCCGTCGTGGCCCACCGCCTGTGTAACCGTGCATAGCTTTTTTCGGGCGGTAAAGAGCCCAACAAAAAACTGCACAAGTTTCCCTCGAGGCGTCCAGGGAGGCCCCAAGAGGCTCCCAAGCGGCTTCCAAGGCCCACAACACGCTCCCAAGATGCTCCCAGAAAGGCCCGGAGACGGCCGAAGAGGCCCCGGATACGGCCGAGGAGACAACCAAGAGGTACGCGAGAGCCTCTGGGACGCCCTCAAGAGAGCCTCGAGTCCTTCAGGATGGGTGCCGCACCACCTGCTGCGGATCTTTCCGCTGCCCTTTTTGTTGTTCGACCCGCTGCTAGTCTTCGTGCTATTTTGGTCTGATCTGTCCTGCTCCTCTTCCTTCTGCTCTGGCATTCCCTATTGCGTGGTCTCCCGACTGCTCTTCTTCCTCCTCCTCCTCCTCCTCCTCCTCCTTCTCCTCCTTTTCCTCCTCCGCCTGCTCCTCCTCCTCCCTATGCTCGGCTAGACGGGCTAGATCTGATCGTGAACGCCACGACCATACCAGACCATAGCTGCCCGCACCAGAGCCAACCAGACCAGCCTGGACCACACAGGAACACCAGTCCAGTCCCAGTCCAGTCCAAAACAGGCTGTCAGTACAGACCAGACCAGGGGAGAAGGAGGAAGAGGAGGATAAAAAGGATGCACACAACTCTTCCTGGTTCTCAAAATCACCCTGCCATTACCCCACCACACACACACATTCACACACACACAAACACACACACACACACAATCCATCCACACATAAAATCCTCCTCCTCCTCCTCCTTCTCCTCCTCTCCCGATTCCTCTACTTTTTCCTGCTCCTCTCCTTCCACCCCGAGTCCGGCTCTTCCTCCTCCCTACAGCATGCATGCGTTCCTCCTCCTTCCCCTCTCCATGCTCTTGTTAAGCGTGATCCTTCTGACTCGCATGCTTAATCTCATCATCTTCATCATCATCAGCATCAGCATCGTCATCATCAGCATCATGCTCATATTCATCCTTATCCACATCACCATCCTCACCATCACCATCATTATCACAAACATCGGCATCATCACCATAATCACATCATCGCCATCATAGTCAGCATCATCGTCATCGTCGTCGTCACCAGCGACAGCGTCGTCATCGCCGTCATGGACGTCCCCCTCCTCCTCCTCCTCCTCCTCCTCCTCCTCCTCCTCCTCCTCCTCCTCATCATCATCATCATCATCACCATCATCATCGTCGTCGTTGCCATACTCCTGCTCATCAGCGTCATCATCATCATCATCACCACCACCATCATCATCAGCAGCATCGCCATCGGCATCACCATCATCAGCAGCATGCGCCTCATCATCATCATCATCATCATCATCAGCAGCAGCAGCAGCAGCATCAGCATCATCAGCATGATCAGCATCATCCTCATCCTCATCCTCATCGTCATCATCATCAACATCAGCAGCAGCAGCATCAGCTTCCCCCTCACCACTGCCACAATCAACATCGTACACCATGCAGCGTACAGCATCATACATCAGCCTGATCCGCATCATCATCGTCATCATCATCAGCATCAGCAGCATCATAATCCTTGGCATCCTCATCCTCATCCTCATCATCCTCATCCTCGTCATAATCATCATCGTCATCAGCATCGTCATCCTCAACAGCACCAGCATCATCATCATCAGCGTCCTTCTGATCATCATCATCATCATCATGATCAGCATCATCATAATCAGCAACATCATCAGAATCCTCATCGACGTCATCATCTTCTTCATCCGCACCGACAGCACCTTCATCCTCATCATCCTCATAAACATCATCCTCCTCATCATCCTCCTCATCGTCATCGTCACCATCATCATCAGCATCAACATTATCATCGGCAGCATAAACATCACCATCACTATCATCAGCAGGACCAGTATCCTCAGCCTCACCGTCATAATCATCATCAGCATCAGCATCAGCATCATCGTCACCATCATCATCACCACCACCAATGTTATCATTAACATCCTCAGCAGCAATATCAGCAGCATCAGCAACTGCAGCAGGAGCAGCATCATCATCACCACCACGATCATCATCAGCATCATTCCCATCATCATTATCGTCGTCGTCATCCACCATGACCACCACCAACAACATCATCAGTATCACCAGCATCATCATCCTTATTATCAGCATCATCATCATCAGCATCACCAGCATCATCAACAACATGATCATCATCACCATCACCATCATCACCATCATCATCATCAACATCATTATCATCATCATCATCATCATCATCATCATCATCATCATCATCATCGTCATCGTCATCATCATCATCATCATCATGATCATCATCATCACCATCACCACCACCACCATCACCATCATGAAAAAATGATAATAATCATCCGTCTCCAGCCCTCTCCACACCTCTTTCCCTCGTCCCATCCCACATGTGGGCACAGCTTGGCCTCGTAGAACCCCATCCAAGCTTCCACGAAGCCTGCTTAGAAGCCCCAGGCCTGTTCTAAGAAGGCCCCTGGTCCTCCAAGCAGCCCCTCCCGCCTCCGTAGCAGGCCGCCCCCCTCGCACCACCCCCCTGTGGGCGCCGCCGAGAGGATTACCAGGGGCCGGGGGGCGGAACGCTCACACGGTTGTACAAGTCCTCTGCGAAACCTTGCCTCGTCCTCGTCCTCCGCCTCGCCCTCGCCCTCGTCTTTTCTCGTCCTCGCCCTCGCCCTCGTTCTCGCCCTCCGCCTCGTCCAGTCTCGCCCTCGCTCTCGCGCTCGTTCTTGCCCTCCGCCTCGTCCAGTCTCGCAATCGTCCTCGCCCTCGCGAGGCGCAGCGCAGCGCTGGCGACGGCGAGCAGCACGTCTGGGACACGCAGGTTGGCACGCAGAGGGGAGGCGAAACACGACCCCACCTGCGCCCAGATGCAGGAAGGGCGCCAGCTCAGAAGACCTGCGGAATCTCGAGACCCCTCCGACACCGACGTGGTGCTTGTTGGCGGCGCGCACAAAGGGGTGGAGGGAGGGGGGAGGGCTTCTTAGAAGGAGGCTGCCCCTTAGAAGGCGCCGGCCTTGCATCTACAGAGAAGGCCCGTGGCTTCTGAGAAGCAGGGGTGCTTCTAAGAAGCCCTCCCCCCTCCCCCCACCCCCCTCCGCGCGTGGCTGAGCTTGTCCCTACGTTCAAACTATACTAAAAAAGCAACAAGGTGCCGATGCCGCTGCTGCCCGGACCTCACCAGGGGTGCTCCCTGACCAGAATTGCAAGGCGAGTCCGGCCGTGGCGACGAGGGAAGGGCAGCGGTATTGGTACCTCTCCTCCTCTGCTGCACGGCTCCCTGTCGGCCACAGCACGCGCCGAGGAGCGCCTGACCGCCCCGCCCCGGCCCGCCGACGGCCACACCGCAAGAGTGACCCTGGGCAAGAGCGACCTCTGGTGCGCGGCTTTAGGGGCCACGGGGGGGGGCAGATCCAATCGCGCAGGCCAAAACTGGGTGGACCCCATGGGACCCCTGTGGCCTCGCACTAAATGGTCACTCCGTCGAAAGGTCACTCCTACCCTGAGATCCGACGCTGCACAAAATTAAAACATGGCGGAAAATCACAACCGGAACCCTGGACCCCACCCTCCTCCGTCGTTGGCAGAGCCAGATCGACTTTCGATGGTCCCGGGGCCCAGAAGCGGGCGAAAAAGCCCATTGTGAAAAGAATTGCAGCGCCAGGATCTCTCGGCTACACCCAAGTGGCCCTGGGAAAGATGTGCCTTTGGTGCGCGGCTTCTTGGGAGCCGCGGAGGGGACAAACCCAAGCGCACAAGACGGAACTATCAAGGGGGACCCCATTGGGCCCGCACCAAGGGTCACTCCGGCGAACGGTCACTCCTACGTCCAGTCGGATCTCAGAGGAGGTCACTCCGGCGGAGGGCCACTCGCACGCGCGGACGACGCCAGCGCGGCGCGCCGGGCGGCGCGCGGAGCGGGGCCGGCGGGGCTCCAGCGGCACCTGCTCCGTGAGGACTCTCAGCCACTCCGCCTGCCGGGGCACGGCGCGGCGCGGCTGCGCCCGCCCGGGAGGCCCCGCCCTCACGGGAAAAGCGCGGGGCCAAGAAGGAGGGCCCAGGGGAGCACGAAGGAATCGGCACAGATACCCAGATTTCCCTGTATTGCTCCATGTTTCCTGCATGCTCCTCTTTCCGCATCCACTTCCCAGACTGTCCCGCCTCTCAAAGAATCAGCATTGTTGCGTGCTTGTGCCAATCGTACCCCCCAGAGCAACTCTCAGCCAAACAGCCTTGCGCCGTGAAAAAGACACGACGGGAGGTTTTGGGACATTTGCCACCTTTGGGGGGGGCCCTGGGTGTGGCAAAATGGGCACGACGCCCAACAGCAAATGCTGTATAGAACCATCAGCGGCTGATGTAAGGCGAGCGGCCGTCTGTCTCAAATTGAGAACGTCCGCGGCGACGCCGACAGCAAACCCGGTCCAAAATGGACAGGAACTGCTGCTGGTCTTTGTACCCGTTGCTTCCGTACTCATGTGGGGCCCCCTGAAAACACCGACTGTGGAAGGAGAATCCGTCCCTGAGGGGTCGTCGTCGTCGTCGTCGTCGTCGTCGTCGCCGCCGCCGTCGTCGTCGTCGTCGTCGTAGCCGTCGCCGTCGCCGTCGTCGTCGCTGTCGTCGCTGTCGTCGTCGTCGTCGTCGTCGTCGTCGTCGTCGTCGTCGTCGTCGTAGTCGTCGCCGTCGTCGTCGTCGTCGTCGTATTCGTCGTCGCCGTCGTCGTCGTCGTCGTCGTCGTCGCCGTCGTCGTCTTCGTCGTCGTCGTCATCGACTGAAGGGGCCCAGACTGCTGGTGAGCCATGCCGCGAAAAAATCGCGACGCCGGATGTGTGGGAGCCAGAGGGGCCAGCAGAGGCGCGGAAGCCTCTGCAGCGCAACGCCCGCTGGCGCCCTGAGCTCCGATTGAACGGCCCTACATGGCGCTGGGTCTCCAGAGCTCTCCGGCCCACCTGCCCCGCGGGGGTTGTCCAGCGGCCCGGAGTCAATCTGCGAGGAGCCGGAGCTCGGCGCAACCTTGCCTTCTCGCTTGGACGCCAGAGCCCCAGCGACGCCGCCGGAGCTGGCCACCCCCTCTGCGCTGGAAGCTGCGGGGACCGAGAGGGGCGCGGAGACGGAGCTGAGGAAAAGAGAAGAAGGAATTGTGGCACTCCGGCCGGGCTCGTTCCTTACCCCACCCTTGGGATGCTCCCACCCGCACCCTGGCATCCGGCATCGCGACTTGTTCACAACGTGGCTCCCCAGAGGCCTGGACCTCTTGCCCAGGACTAGCCCTTCACCACGAACACTTGTTGGAGGGCCCTGGGCCTGGTGCGGGCTCCTGGAGGCTGAAACTCTGCACAAACAGTCCGTCCCGAATTCTTGGGATAGCCCCCCCTCCCCCCTTGACGAACCCCCGAGGGAGGAGGAGGAGGAGGAGGAGGAGGAGGAGGAGGAGGAGGAGGAGGAGGACGAGGAGGAGGAGGAGGAGGAGGAGCAGGAGAAGGAGGAGCAGGAGGAGGACGAGGAGGATCGAGGAGGACGATCAATGAGAATCGAAGAGTCCAGCGTGCGGAGGCTGCGGGTCTCCACCTTCCGCCCGGCCGCCGCTGGCCGCGCCCGCGGGAGCGGGAGCGCTCACGGCTTCCTCGAAGTAGTCGAGGGCGGTCACGGTGTCGGCCAGAAGAGCGTCGAGGAGGAGGCGGAGGAGGTGATATGAGATGAGCAAGCGGCCTGAAGCCAGTAGGAGGCGGAGGAGGAGGATGTGGAGGATCGAGGAGGAGGAGGAGGAGGAGGAGCATCGAAGTGGAGGAGGAAGAGGAGGAAGAAGAGGAGGACGCAGAGTATAGGCTGGGTGCCCCCCCCCGTCTCTCAGCGATGGGCACCATCGAGCGCGGCAGGGCGCACTGGACCCCGTCGCGCGTGCGCCATGCTGGGGCGAGGCCTCCGCGGGTTCCGCCCGCGCGTGTCTTTCCCCCACGGGCGAACACCCATCGGTCGGAAGGAGGAGGCAGAGACATGAAGTAGGAAGGTGTCGAACATAGATTGGGTTCCGTCCGCCTCCTGAGGAGGGCGGAGAAGGTGGTGAAGCCACTCGATCTTTGGAGTAGGAAGGCGCTCAAAGCAGATTAGGATCTTGGAATCCAAGAAAATACCTACCTTCGACGACCAAATGAGTACATTGATGATGAAAATTGCCAGCTTCCCCACTGTGACGAACGAGCAGCACACACCCATACCCATAGGGGGGTCGTTGGGAGGAGGACTGGCTATGGGTAGGGGTGCGGGTTGTCGGACCCTGGGGAACGCTCCCGTTCGAGCGGGGACCCCCATCCGACAACACGCACCCATAGCCCTCTCCGACCCCTCTATGGGGATGGGTGTGTGTTGTTGGTTCGCCACACTGGGGGAAATGGGATTCCAAGATACGGTGCACAAGCCGAGTGAGCGACGACAAAAGAAAGCGGGCCCTTGCGCGAGACGGCATAGCGGCCTGGGCGGTGGCTTGCGCGGTGGTCGCCAGCGCGGCACGCTAACATCTGAAGACGAGGGCGCTCACGCGCGGCCTCACGCGGTGAGCTTGCGCACCAAGGTCGGCGCAGACGGCCCCGCTTTTGTTGCGTCGTCCAAGTGCTCCGCGATCCAAGTGGCCTACAGTTAAGTCGGGCCTGTCCCCCTACAGGGGGATTTTCGACGACAAATTAAAAAACACCAAACATTGTTTTAGAAAAATATTCCAAAAATAGTCTGAGGACTATTGTTGGAGTAATGTTTGACCTTTTGGGGATATTCTTGGGGTATGTTTTATTTTTCGTCGAAAATCCCCCTGTAGGGGGACACGCCCGACATAAGCCCACAGTCAAAACGCATACCCAGGATGCGAGGCAAGGCTGCAAGGGCCTTGAGGGGGCATGCTGGCGCTTTCCGACCGGGGCTGGCCAGCGAAAGCTGCCAAGGATTGGCCGAAGAGGCAAAGTATAACCTTGGTAAACCCTCACTATCCGCGTTGACTGCCCTGGACAAGCCCCGCAGGGAGTGCCCCGCCCGTGCGCGCCCCTGGCTCCTGTGCGGCCGCGGATCCTGGCGCAAGGGACCCCCAAACACAGGACATCGCCGACCGGCACGCTGCACATCCCACCTGATGGGCATGTTTTCCACCACCACCACCACCATAAGCTGGAGGGGGGAAGGAGGTGGAGGACGAGGAGGAGGACGAAGAGGAGAAGGAGGAGGAGGAGGAGGAGGAGGAGGAGGTGGAGGAGGAGGAGGAGGAGGAGGAGGAGGAGGACCACCTAACCCTCCAAATTATGGTGATGGTGGTGGTGGTGGTGGAGGACAGGCCCATCACCACCCGTTGAGGGAACGGAGCATGGAGAACAGCTGCCAGAGCCCATGTGTTGGAGGGCCCCGACAGGCGCCCGGCGCCCGGCGCTGGTGCCCGATGCGCCGAGCTCCGCGAGGATGCCGCGCATCTCGCCGCGCCGATCGAGAGTGTGCTCCCGGCTCCCTCCCCGCAGCTGCCGCGCTGGCTCGGCGGCCGCGCTGGGCTCCCCTGGCGCTCGGGCCAAGCCCAAGCGCCACCGCTGCGGCGGGGTGTGGCACCCCCGCGACTGCCCGACGGCCAACCCCCCCCGTCCGCTGCCTGCTCCTCTGCCTGCTCGCTGCCGCTGCTGCGCCTTCTCCTCCTCCTCCTCCTCCTCCTCCTCCTCCTCCTCCTCCTCCTCCTCCTCCTCCTCCTCCTCCTCCTCCGCTCTCCTCTCGCCCCTCCCCAGACATCCTCGCGCGGCGGAAGGTGCTTGGCAATGTTCCGCCTCTGGGGGGCCCTCGCCAAGGCCCAAGGACCATCAGAAAACGGCGTGGCATATGAACTGGTCCCCAGGAAGGGGTCCAGGCCTTTGGGGAGCCATGTTGCGAAGTAAACACGTCGTCGGATGTCTGTGTTCTCCTCCCCCTCGTCCTTTGTAGTCCCCACCGCCCAGCAGATGGCGCTGTCGTGCTGGTGGGCAGAGCTGGGCGGAGCGATCGCGAGGAGTCCAGGGGGGCACAGAAGCTGTCGCCCTTTGTCCCCTCCTCCTCTTCGCCCTGGCTGGTGCTCCGCACGGTGGAGCCCCTTCACCTCAGTGGGGAAGCCGACAGCTTTCGATCCACGTCTTGCGCTGAAGTTCTTCGTCGGAGTGGGAGGAGGCGGAGGCGGAGCAGCCTCAAGATAGTCCCAAATACTTCCCTAACTGCTCTACGACGATGTCTGACAACATCGCGTCCAGAAGGGAGGCCAACGGTCTGCTGAGCGGCCTTGGCGATAGAACGAACGATCGAGTGGGGGAACGATCCGCTGATGGCATCGTACCTCTCCTCTCAGAAGGCGGAAGACGAGAATGACCAGGAGGAGACGAGGAGGAGGATGAGGAGTAGGAGGAGGAGGAGGATGAGGAAGACAAGGAGGAAGAGGAAGACAACCAGGAGGAGGAGGAGGAGGAGGAGGAGGAGGAGGAGGAGGAAGGGGAGGATGGAACCAGCGACGTGAACCGCGCTCGCTGCCCCCCCTGCCCCCACCCAAGACGGCCGGCGGCGGCCTGATCAATGGGCTGCAGCGACAGCTTGTGCTGGGCGCCGGGCGGCGGCGGGAGCGGAGGGTGGGCGCAGGCAGGAGGAGGACGAGGCGGAGGGCAGGGAGCGCAGAGGAGCAGGAGGCAGCAGCGGGCACGGGGAGAAGCGGAGGAGGAGGAGGAGGAGGAGGGCTATGTTTAGAGGAGGAAAAAATTAGATGAATATAAACTTTTCGCGCTCCGCGCGGCTTTCTTGGATCTGCGGCGCTCCGCGCGGCTTTCTTGGATCTGCGCTGGGCGCCTCTCCCTGGCGCGCGGGGCGCGCCAGGTGCGGCGCCGGAGGCGTGGCTGGGGGGCACTTGGGGTTGCACTTGGGGTTGCTCACTTCTGCTCTGAGGAGCTGGGCCTGTCTGCCAGTCTCTGGCCTCGTCGCCGCCCGTCGTGTAGACCTGTCTGATGGTCTGGCGGCTACGCTGCCGCAGTCGCCGCCCCGTCGCCGCCCCGTCGCCGCCCAGATTGCACAACATAGATTGGCCCACCTAGATTGCACAGCATCTATTCTCCTCGTCGTCTTCGTTGGCGACGTCGTCGTCGCCTTCGTCGTCGTCGTCGGCGTCGGCGTCGTCGTCTTCGTCGTCGTCGACGTCGGCGTCGTCGCTGCCAAGTGCCATTTGGTACCCACCGTCACGGTCTTAAGAGGTCTTGCGACCAAGTTGCGGGTGGGAAGGTGGGATGTTTGCACGAGCAGTGGAGAGGACAGCTTCAAGTTGAGCAGGTGATTGATTTCACCACATAAATTGCGTCAACTAGTCTCCCTTCTAAAAACAAAATAAGATCTCCCCCCCTGGCGTTATCGACACCCCTTTCGGGTATGTAAATCATATACGAGTCTGACCACATGTCCATCCTAACGTTGCAATCACAATGTCCCAGGCCAACCGGTATCCCCCCAATGAGGGTCCCTGGATAAACACTATGCGGTGACATTTTCTGTTTTAACATAACACTTGTTCACGAATCCCTTGCAAAACTTGGAACCAAGTGCACACGCGCGCGTCGTCGCGCGCGCATGCCGAAATCCTTCAAACACCTTCGGTGCCGGAAGGACTTCGCAATCGAGTTTCCAAACAAAACATGCAAACACACATGGTTTCGCAACACTGATTTGCTAAAGAAGCTTCCGCGCGAGCTCTTGCGAAATCTTAAGAAAACCATAGGTTTGTCAAGATGTTCACAACATGGTATAAAACGGGCTTCGCGCGCGCATGTCGAAATCTGTCGAACGCCCTTGCGCGTTCACCGTCGCGAGAATCCTCTGCAAAAGAATCGGACGAAGTGCAGACGCGCGCGTCGTCGCGCGCGTATGCCGAAAACCTTCAAAACCCATCGGTTTCGGAAGGATTTCAAAATCGTGTGTCCAAAAAACCTACAAAAACACAAGGTTTCGCAACACGGATGTTCAACAAAAGCGTGCGCGCGCGCTCTTGCGTCGTCGTCGTCGTCGTCGCCGTCCTCCCTCCTCCCGCGTCGTCGTCGTCGTCGTCGCCTACGTCGTCCTCTGTCTTTCCTCGTGTTCGTCATCGTCGTCCTCTTTGGCGTCGTGGTCGTTTCCGTCGTCGTTGTCGCCGTGGTCGTCCTTCCTCCTCCTCCCTCGTCGTCGTCGTCGTCCGTCGTCGGCGTCTCGTCGTCGTCCCTCCTATTTCGTCGCCGTCGTCGTCGTCGTTGTCGTCGTCGTCTTCCCTCCTCCCTCGTCGTTGTCGTCGTCGGCGCCGCCGTCCTTCCTCCTTCTTCGTCGTTTGCGTCGTCGCCGTCCTCCCTCCTCCCTCGTCGTTGTCGTCGTTGTCGTCGTTGTCGCCGTCGTCGTCCTTCCTCCTCCCTCGTCGTCGTCTTCGTTGGCGACGTCGTCGTCGTCTTCGTCGTCGTCGGCGTCGGCGTCGTTGTCGTCGTCGTCGAAGCCGTCGGAGACGTCGTCGGTGTCGTCGTAGTCGCCGTCGTCGTCGTCGTCGTCGGCGTCGTTGATGTCGTCGTCGTCGTCGTCGTTGTCGTCGTCGTCGTCGGTGTCGTCGTTGTCGTCGTCGAAGTTGTTGGAGACGTCGTCGGTGTCGTCGTAGTCGGTGTCGGCGGCGCCGTCGTCGTCGTTGTCGCTGTCGTCGTCGGCGTCGGTGTCGTGGCCAAGTGTCATGTGGTACGTACCGTCACGGTCTTGTCTTAAGAGGTCTTGCGACTAAGTTGCGGGTGGGAGGATGGGATGTTTGCACGAGCAGTGGAGAGGACAGCTTCAAGACCGTCAAAGATTAATTGCACAAAATAGATTGCGCACAACAAATTCGGGGCCCGAGTTATCCGGGGTAACTCGGGTCCGGGGTAACTCGGGTTTGGATTCCCGAAAAGGGAACCCGAGTTAGCCCTGACCCGAGTTACCCCTGATGATTCGGGGCTCTGGACGCCCGAATTATCCGGGGTAACTCGGGTCCGGCCTATCTCGGGTTCGGATTCCCGAAAAAACGAACCCGAGTTAACCCTGACCCGAGTTACCCCTGATGATTCGGGGCTCTGAACAAAGATTGCACCACACAGACTGCACCTCGTAAATTGCACCACATAGGTCGCGCACCACATAGTTTGTACCACCTGAACTGCACCACGCACACTGCATCAAATAGATTGCACAGCATAGGTTGCGCCACATCGATTCTCCATTCAAAAAAAAAAGAATAGACTTTCCCCCTCCCGGCGTTATCGGCCCCCCTTACGGGAATCTAAATCATAAATGAGTATGGCCACATGTCCATCCTAAATATGAGTTTACACTATCCCAGGGGGGGCCAGGATCGCCCCCATGAGGTTCCCTTGTAAAGAACAATACGCGGGGACATCTTTTGCTGTATCATAAGACTTTTTCGCGAATCCCTTGCAAAAAACGGGACGAAGTGCACACGCGCGCGCCGTCGCGCGCGCATGCCGAAATCCTTCAAAACCCATCGCTGTTGGAAGGATTTCGCAATCGAGTTTCCAAACAAATATATACAAAAGCACAGGGTCTCGCAACACTGATTTGCTAAAAAAGCTTACGCGCGAGCTCTTGCGAAATCTTAAGAAAACCATAGGTTTGTCAAGATTTTCACACAATGCTACCAAACGGGCTTCGCGCGCGCGCATGTCGAAATCTGTCGAACGCCCTTGCGCGTGTGCCGTCGCGAGGATCCTCTGCAAAACATGGGACGAAGTGCAGACGCGCGCGTCGTCGCGCGCGTATGCCGAAATCCTTCAAAACCCATCGGTTTCGGAAGGATTTCAACATCGTGTGAGCAAAAAACCTACACAAGATCAAGGTTTCGCAACACGGATGTTCAACAAAAGCGTGCGCGCGCGCTCTTGCGTCGTCGTCGTCGTCGCCGTCCTCCCTCCTCCCGCGTCGTCGTCGTCGTCGTCGCCTACGTCGTCCTCTGTCGTTCCTCGTGTCGTCGTCGTCGTCGTCCTCTTTGGCGTCATGGTCGCCTCCGTCGTCGTTGTCGCCGTGGTCGTCCTTCCTCCTCCTCCCTCGTCGTCGTCGTCGTTCGTCGTCGGCGTCTCGTCGTCGTCCCTCCTATTTCGTCGTCGTCGTCGTCGTTGTCGTCGTCGTCGTCGTCGTCGTCTTCCCTCATCCCTCGTCGTTGTCGTCGTCGGCGTCGCCGTCCTTCCTCCTTCTTCGTCGTTCGCGTCGTCGCCGTCCTCCCTCCTCCCTCGTCGTTGTCGTCGCTGTCGTCGTTGTCGTCGTTGTCGCCGTCGTCGTCCTCCCTCCTCCCTCGTCGTCGTCTTCGTTGGCGACGTCGTCGTAGTCTTCGTCGTCGTCGGCGTCGGCGTCGTCGTCTTCGTCGTCGTCGACGTCGGCGTCGTCGTCGTAGCCGCCGTCGTCGTCGTCGTCGTCGTCGTCGTCGTCGTCGGCGGCGGCGTCGTTGACGTCGTCGTCGTCGTCGGTGTCGTCGTTGTCGTCGTCGTCGGCGTCGCTGTCGTTGCCAAGTGCCATTTGGTACCAAGAGGTTTTGCAAACCAAGTTGCGGGTGGGTGGGTGGGATGTTTGCAGGAGCATGGCATGGGATGTGTCAAATCATGGGTAAAAACCAATTGCACCACTTAGATTGCACCACCTAGACTGCACCATACGAATTCAACCACGTCGATCGCACCGCATATATCGCACCACACATGCTGCACCACGTCGATTGCAGCACGTAGATTGAACAACAGATACTGCATAGCACAGATTGCACTACAAAGATTGCACCATGCCGACTGCATCACAGAGATTGCGCACCACATAGATTGCACCTAGATTGCACCATATATAGTTCTCCACAAAGATTGCACATAATTGCTCGCACCACACAGATCGCACCATATACGTCGCACCCCGCAGTTGCGGATAAGAGTGAGGGGGCTGCGGGGACGTTGGCAGTCTGCCAGGCTTTGAAGAAGCCTGCCGCAGGCGCAAAATCTTTCAAGCTATACATTTAGCCCGCCGCAGGCGTCGATTTTTGTTAAGACAATTGAGGTGGGTCGCGGGTTGGGTCGCAGGTGGGCCCCGGGTGGGTCGACGGTGGGTCGCGGGTGGGTCGCGGGCCAGGTCGCGGGTGGGTCGCGGGTGGGTCGCAGGTGGGTCGCGGGTGGGTCACGGGTGGGTCGCGAGCGGGTCGCGGGGTGTGTCGCGGGTGGGTCGCGGTTGGGTCACGGGGTGGGTCGCGGGTGGGTCGCGAGGTGGGTCGTGGGCCAGGTCGCGGGCCGGGTCGCGGGGGGGACGACGACAACAACAGCAACAACAACAAGCAGAATACTCACATGGAATCCGCACTTCAGCCACGCACCCAGGAACAATGAAAGACCGTTCGGCCCCCTCACTCTGATATATATATATATATATTACTATATATATATATATATATATATATATATATATATGATCCCGCAACATCCCGTGCCAGGACGTGCAAAGGAGAAGCCTCAAGATATGCAAGCAGACAGTTGCCATCTTTTCAGCAGCACAGTGCACAATGTTACTGAGCTCTCCGCCTGGGCACACAACGAGGCAAACAGTGCACATCAGCAGTCCAGTGGCGACGAGTTGCGGGACCGTGAGACATGTTCGAGCAATCAAATCACTCCCAGCCGGAGAGGTTAGTTCCGATTTAGCGAGAGTTGTGAAACAACTGAAAGGCAACCCTGCTTCGCAGGGCTGAGGGTGGTTAGTGGGCGGGAGACTTGAGCCGTAACATTATGATACGGCACCCCCTTCAAGCTTTATCATAGCTCGTGAACTTTACGATGATCCCGCAACATCCCGTGCCAGGACGTGCAAAGGCGAAGCCTCAAGATATGCAAGCAGACAGTTGCCATCTTTTCAGCAGCACAGTGCACAATGTTACTGAGCTCTCCGCCTGGGTACACAACGAGGCAAACAGTACACATCAGCAGTCCAGTGGCGACGAGTTGCGGGATCGTGAGACATGTTCGGGCAATCAAATCACTCCCATACCCACATTCAGTGTGCCCTACGAAGTGTCTACAAACAGGTGTTAATCTAGACCCAAAAGACGGGGCCCGAGGCTGTGCATATACTGTTCAGTTAAATGAGCGACCAGGGAGCGAGCTAAAAAATTACACAGGGGGGCGGGATAGGCCTGAGCCCTTCTAGTACGGAAGTTACCCTCGGCGTCCTTACCCATGAGCTGCATGCGTCTATGCCCTGTAGCAGAACAGCGCCCCCCTGTCCCAGAACATCTTTTGAAATCGATCAGCGAGTTACAATTGATAACCAGGAAGCATGTAGGTTTTTCCACTGGGTTCCATATTGACAGTAATGCGCCTCGAGCAGACGTGCCCCAAACTTGCGTATAAGATAAGTGACCTGCTTGGTAAGCCAGACCCTGGACGAAAGCGGGTTCTCGAGCACCGCGGGGACCCCGATGGAGGCCAGCTGACAGATCATGCGGAAAGTGGTGACCCAAAGCCTGCTGCCTAGCTGGACCCTGTCGTGATCCCTTTTTGAGAGTTCCGGGAGACCCCGGAGGTGTTCACGATCGCCCCGAAGAGGTCCTGGTCCCCGACCATCGCTTTTTCGGGCCCTGGTCCAGGTCAGGCAGGGGAGGGCAGCAAGCAGGGCAAGAGCTTTGCCCGACTTAAAATCCCGGACGAGCCTGCGTCTGTTGGCGGCCCTCAGTATATCCGCGCCGAGCCCGTCGATCACGCCCCAAGCTTCCGCTTCGACCCCCTGGGCGGCAACTGCCCTCGAGAAGCCGGCTTCACCAGAGAAGAGCTCGACGATTTTCTGGCCCTCGAAGAGCGCACGGATCGGGCGAAGTGCGGCATGCCTGACCGGAGCTGGGCCTCGAGGTTGACCAGACACGTGGCGGCGCGGCTCTGTGTCGCTTCGGAGACCAGCTTCTCTTGGAGCTGGAGCCTGCCGTGCGCCTCGCTACGTAGCGTCGGACCGACCGATCGCCCCTCCAGCGACCTCTGTCCTTTACCTCTGCCTTCGAGCGGAGACGGTTCAGGATGTCGTGCGAGGGCCCGCCGTGGCGCAACTGGTATAGGTCGGGCTTGAGGGCGGCCAGTCCTGCGGCCCCGGCAGCAGTCTTGAAACTCTCGTTGAAGCTCCGGTAGTCGAAGTCGAACAGCGCCGGCCCTGCAGCCGCGCCCCGGCGCGCGTCCAGAAGGTATCCGAGGAACGGGAGAGCCGACGAGTCCAACAGCAGCGTCTCGTCGTACAGGCCAACTTTGCTGGGCTGGCCCCGCTCCGCGCGATGTAAGTGAATCGCGTAGCACGGGATGCCCTTGGTCGGCACGAGCACGTCCGTCACCTGAAGCGAGAGGAGCTCGATCGGCCTCAGGTAGGCCGAGAACATGAGCATCACCGCCAGTGCCATGCTGACGAGGTTCATGCCGACGAGCTCCACCGCGATCAGCGCCGCGAACGCCAGAGGCAGCGGCGGCCTGGTCATGCCTGGGTCGAGCCTGTTGAACCCCTGCAGCGCCTTCACGGTCCGCACCAGCTTGTCGGGGCCCCTCTTGGAGAAGGAAGGGCGGAGCTTGACCCAGGCCGCGCAGGTGCCCGTTGCCTCGCCGATGTCCGCGCCCTCATCCCACATCTGGTTCAGGTAGTCGACCAGCGCGCAGTCCACCAGCTTGGCAGAGGTGAGCCCGGGCCCCCTGGCATCCGCCCAGCTCTCGAAGTCGGCGACCCTCTTCGCATACATGGCGTGGGTCCGCTCGGCGACGGCGTTCGCCTCCAGGAACGTCTCGACGTGCGACTCCGACAGGTTCGACGCCTTGATCCCGATGGAGCCGACCAGCTCGCGCCTGAGCTGCGCCCGAGCCTGCTTGTTGGGCGCTCCTCGAGCCAGGCGCTGCTTCTCCTGTGCCCCCAGCGCGCGGGCTCGGCGCGCTGCAGCGGCTGCCGGACGCCGCGGAGGCGGCCTCACCGGCGCCGCCCTGAGGCCGCGGGCCGCGTGGCTGGAAGCCCGCCCAGTGGACGGGAGGGGGCAGTCCTGGCGGAGGTCGTGGCACGGTAGGCTGCGCCCCAGCACCCGCGGCGCTGGTCGGTAAAGTGCGCCTTGAGGAAGGAGGCCCCTCCCCATGTTTGAGCCTAAGGTGCTCCCACAGACGGGGCCCCTTGTCCACTGGGTTTCGCTCCGAGGGTATCCAGCGATGGTGAACGACTGCTGATGTGGCGAGCTCCAGGGCACACAATCTCCCGCAGCAAACCAATCGCGCGAAGTTCTTCATTCGGCCCTTCTCCCGCCCCAAGACTTTACCTAGGTTGTCTCCCAGATGAAGGTGATTAGAACGAAAGCCTCCAGAGGACCTCAGGGTGTGCCTTACGCCAGAGACCGTGGCCCGAGACTCCAGATCCCCGATACCCTCCTTGAACACAAAGGGCGCCGCATCGCTAGTCTTCCACATGGAGTCCTGCAGGAGGCCCTCGGGGATCCCTTTGAATAGGAAGTTGAACTCGTAGGGGGAGGGTTCGAAGCGGTCGACGATGGGCTTCACCGCCTCGAGGTCCTGGAACGGGTCGAGGGCCCCCAGAGCAGCACGACGCGGCGCGGAAGACGGCACGGCACAGCGATAGCGAAACCTCTCGCGAGCACCCCCAGCCTCCATCACATCCGAGACATTCCAGAGAGACTTGCCCACGGCGTACCCGGACAGCGAAGCATCTGTAGCTTACCTGCGGGATCCACGGCATCCTGGGGTCCGACCAAGCGAGCGGCAGCAGCGCAGAGATCCACTTACACTCCAGCGCGGCGGAATGCCAGAGACGCCTCTTGCGGCTCCAGTGCTCGTGCATGAACTGATACAGGGCATTAGGCAGCGATAACATGGAGCGGGTGAGGAGGAGGATCGGCGTGACGCAACCGAGAGCCTTACTAATTTGCCAGCCTGTGACGTGAGGTCTTCTCCTGAGATGAGTGAACGCTGCCACGGCCTTCTCAAGCCGATGCGGGATCGGAAAGACCCCCCGCGTTTTCCATCAACCAGGTATCCCAGGGACTCGAAAAAGGTTGTTACCTCCACCTCTTCATGAACCTGGAAGCCCGCGCGTCTGAGCTGATCGACTGCCAACATCTTAACATTATTGACGGAGTCCTTGTCTGTGCCCATGACAATCAGGTTGTCGCAATAGGGGAGGACCACGGGAACCTTACAATATAAATCCGGAGTGGGAGCGTCTTCTTCGAGAAGTCGGTCAGAGCCCAGTTGGGTGCCCAATAAGACCTGATGAGAGTGAGCCCTCTGTGCGAACCAGAATGCCCAGGACCAGCCCTGAGGACAGACGCGCATGACAGGACGCACACGCCCAGGAAGGCCAGCCCAAGAAGACTCATATCCAGGAAGAGCGCCCCAAGAAATGACGTTGGCAGTGCTAACAATTGGCAGGCCAACATACTTTCGGAGCCAGTGCGGCAGCACGAGCCAGTAGAAAAAGTTGCTGACATCCGACAGAGCACCGTGCAAAACTTGGCCTTGTGGAACCTGCAAGCGAGAGAGGACGGCTCCCGTCGCAATCCTCATCCGAGGTGGCGCTCTGAATCTACGGTTCGGACTCCTGCAGTCCAAGACCATGCGCAGAGCAACGCCTTTCTTGTCGACAAAGAATGGAGTGATGTGATCCTCGACCTCAAACGAAAACTCGACGATACCCGCGTGATACAAGTCTTTCACAAAACCTTCGTATGCAATCTGATCAGCTCGTAAGACCTCATCGAAGTAGGGGGTGACATGAGGAGAGGTCTCGATCACTTCCCCCCACCCCTGTGGGGTCTTAAGCATGCGGTCGGCCCCCTCGATTCAAACCTGACGCCCCTCCTGGTCGAGAACATCCTCGAGCCTGGGCGCCCTTGCGCCCGACTGAGGAAGAGACACGGGGGCAGTGCGAAAGGGTCGGACGCGGCTCGCAACCTCCTCCGAAGCGTAGGAGAGGTCTGTGCGCATGACCTCACGGAAGTCGTCATGCGGAAAAGGTACAGGTTTACCGCTGCCAGGCACAGAAGCTAGCTTGCTCAGTACCTGATGGTGAGCTTCCTCCTGGGCGAGGTTGGGGGCGAGGTCCGCGGAGCCGACCCCGTACAACTCATTGAGGGCATTGCACACCGTCGTCGCTTCATGCGCACGCCGCCCACGACGCCGGAGGGCTCGATCTGAAGCCAAAACTTGCTCAGGCACCTCATGTCCTGCATCAACTGGAGGCAAAGGAAAAAGATCGCGTGGCCGATCGCCTGCGACCGCCTGACCATGTCGATGAGCATGAAAAGGCCCAAGCACCTGTGGAGCGCGAGCTTGATGAAGTCGAGGCTGTAAGACATCACCACCGCGCTGGCCTGGAAGATCTCCTGGGAGTCGGCCACACTGCCCAGGAGGGAGGGGGCTCATCCCTCCTCGCCCGCGGGACCCAGCCCGCCCCTGCCGCGACCACGGCTTTTGCCGCGTCCACGACTCCGGGCCTGCTGCTCCTCGCGGGCTGTTCTGCTCTCCTTCGCGATGGCCGCCTGGTCCTTCAGCTGGTTCGCCGCGTACTGGGCCAGCGCAGGATTGGTGCCGCCTCCTGCCGTCTGGGGCCCCCAGCCCATGAACACATCTCCAGCAGAGTAATCAGGATTGGATGGCGCGGCCCTGTGGGCCTCCTTGATGAGGGCCATGCGGCGGCACACCAACTCGGCCCACTTCAGAGCCGGCAAGTTGAGTTGGTCGTAGGTGGCCGCCGCGTCCAATATCCTGCACAGAACCTGATGTTCATACACCGAACGATCGCCCTCTGGGATGCGGGAAGATCGAACCCACCTCTCATGGTGAGCGTTCGGGCTCGCATCATCATCTCGGATCTGCTTCAGCTGCCAGAACGTGGTAGGCGGACCGTCGAGGCCGAGACCGCCGCGCGGAGGCGTAGGGTCCATGGCCGCCACCGCGTCCGCGAAGCCGACCTTGCGCTCACCCGACGCGTCCGTGACGACTGGCAGCACCCTGAGATCGTCATGCACGAATCGGTATATATCAGCCTCCGCCATGCGCTGCACGAACAGGTGTCCGTTCCCGTACTGGATGATGGCCTTGTCACCGAGGGTCACTGCGTTATCGGGCAGCGTTGGTATCTGGGTCCCCTTCGTGATGTCCTGGGTGTCCTCGGCCGCGACCCACGCGAGCGGGGGGCCAGCCTGCGCCGCAGCGCCAGCGGGCCCGGGCGCCGCGGCCGCCGCAGCAGCCGCACCTGGGACAGCCGCGCCGCCTGCCACCGCAGGCGGGGGCGCAGCGGGGCCGAGGTGAGCTCCCAGCGGGGGGGCCACAGCCACCAGTGCCCCAGGCGGCGGGGCCGCTGGCCCCAGCGGCGGATGCCACGCGGCGGGGGCAGCGCCAGGTGGGCCCACAACAGGCACCACAGGCCCTGGCGGAACTGGAACCCCTGCCTGAAGAGCACCATCCGCCACGTGCTGGAGCATCTCGGCAGCCGTCGGCACGACACGAAACCGATACACACTTGCTATGGGAATGTCTGGGGGCTGCACCCCCAAGCCTGGGGCGCTCCGAAACTCAGCAATATCGAGATTATCTGGACGAAGCTCTTCCACAAAAATGTCGCCGTCGGGCGTTAGCACTGCGAAGTGGCCTGGCTGATTGCCAACAGCGAGAATGAGCCGTTCATGCCAGAGCGGCGGGCCAGGCAGGTCGTACCTGACCAGCACCACATCACCGGGCGCCACCATTGCGCTGACGTATGATGGCGAGCTGTTTCAACGCCAGATCCCGCGTAGCAGTGTCGTCCACGACGGCCTCGGGCTCGGGGCGCCTGAACACGAACGAGGTCAGCCAGCCGCCGCAGCGACCTATAAGACCTGTGCAAGTCAGGAGTCCAAATCCCACGAGGAGGCCCGCGACGAAACCGAAGATGCCAGACCAGCCCGCTCCCTCGGCGACCTGCGGGGTCACTGACGGACAAGAGAAAGTCGGACAAGTGATATTGATCGACGGCGTCGAACAAGTGACTGTCGGACAGGTGACCACGCAGTCAGGGCAAGGCGGGCACTGACGCGAGCCCAGGCCCCAAATGATCGCAAGATCGGCGGCCTTGGTAGCGACTAGCTGGGCGGGCCAACCGACCATGAGAACAAACTTGAGCCGTAACATTATGATACGGCACTCCCTTCAAGCATATATATATATAGTACTACGCATATTGCTCCGCAGCGATGACACACCATAAATGGCACAACATACACTGTCAGACATACATTCCATAAAAAGGATTGCTTCACACATATGGATTGCCTTACGCATATATATATATATATATATATGTGTGGCTTCACAAAGATTGCACAACATATATTAGCCAATGTGGAACCCAAACATTGCGTCTAGCAATATATGCTGTGCAACCTATGCGGAACAATCTATGAGGTGCACTAGATGTGGTACTATATGTGTGTGGTACAACCAATGCTGCGCAAAATGTCATATGCGATCTATGTTGTGGAATCTACGTGGTGCAGTCTATGTTGTGCCATCTACGTGGTGCATCTTATGTGGCGCGGACCTATGTGGTGCGATCTGTGCTGTGCGATCTATGTGGTGCCATCTGTGTTGTGCGATCTATGTGGTGCAATATACTTGTGTAATCTATATGGCGCCATCTGTCTGGTGCCATCTAATATTTGACTGTCTTGAAGCTGTCCTCCCCACTGCTCGTGCCAACATCCCACCCTCCCACCCGCACCTTGGCCGCAAGACCTCTTAAAACCATGACGGTAGGTATCAAACTGCACTTGGCCACGACACCGACGCCGACGACGACAGCGACAACGACGACGACGCCGACGACGACTACGACGACACCGACGACGACTCCGACGACTTCGACGACGTGACAACCACGACGACGACGACACCGACGACGACGACGACGACAACTACGGCACGACGACGCCAACGACGACGACGACGCCGACGACGACGACGACGACGGCGCCGACGACGACGACGAGAAGGAATTCGGCATCCGCGCGCGGCGGCCGCGCGCATGTGCGCCGAATGGTGATTTTTACAAGGGATTGTGGCCCTGGCAAGCGCGCGACCGATGAGAAAGGAGTTCGACGCGCGCGCAAAAGTTGTTCGCATGAGCGAAATATTGAAAAACCATTGGTTTTTAGGATTCGGAAAGCGCGCGCGGGTAGAGTGTATAATGTTTTGCAGATTTGTTTTCGAGGATGTATGGTACGATTCGTGTGATTTCATGAGGCTCGGTCTTGAAATAGTTGAGACCACAATGTGTTTGGAAGGACTTCGACATGCGCGCGCGGCGGCCGCGCGCATGTGCCCCGCATGGTAATTTTTACACCTGGCAGGCGCACGACCGATGTTGAAAGCGTTCGACGCGCGCGCATAAGTTGCTCGCATGACAGAAATGTTGAAAAAAACATTTAGGATTCGGAAAGCGCGCGCGGGTAGAATTCTGATTTGTTTTGCAGATGTGTTTCGAGGATGTATGGTACGATTCGTGTGATGTCATGAAGCTCGGTCTTGAAATTGTTGAGACCACAATGTGTTTGGAAGGACTTCGACATGCGGGCGCGGCGGCCGCGCGCATGTGCCCCGCATGGTATGTTTTACAAGGGATTATGGCCCTGGCAGGCGCGCGACTGTTGTTGAATGAAATCGACGTGCGCGCAAAAGTTGCCCAAGAAGCTCGATTTGACAGGATTGTTGAAAAACAATTCCTTCTTGAAGGATTCGGCAAGAGCGCGTGGGCAAATGTTTCATAGTCTTTGAGTGAGAAAACCGCATGCGTGCATGGGTTTTCTTGACGCCGGATGTTGAAATTGTCGAAACAGTATGTGGAAGGATTCCAACATGCGCGTGCAGCGGCCGCGCGCGTGTCCCGCATGGTTTTATGTTACAAGGGATTCGTGAACACAAGTGTTATGTTAGAACCAAAAACAACGTTTAGTATGTTTCGCAAGGAAACCGACGGGGGATCGATACCGGTCTGGCTGGGATAGTATGAACTCACAGGTAAGATGGACATTGGGTCAGAATCATCTGTGTTTTGCATAGGTTCCCCGGGAATCTATAAGTCCGGGGTCCGGGGGGGGGAGGGTGGTAGAACCTATCTCCTTTCTAGAAAAGAGATTCCACGCGGTGCAACTTTACAAGGCCGCGACGAGGCGGCGACTGGGCGGCGACGGCTACCACATAGCCGCCAGACCGCCGCGCCATCTCTTAGAAGAGATGTGAGAGCCCCTAAGTGAAAGCACTGCTTGTGGAAACGCACTGTTTGGGGTTCCCTTCTGCGCCTTCCCCCGTCGTCCTCGTAAAGAGAGAGAGAGAGAGAGAGAGAGAGAGAGAGACAGAGCAAACAAACATGAGAAAAAGAGAGAGAGAGAGAGAAGTTGGCAACGCGGAAAATGGGGCCAGCACGTCGACGGGAGACAGGCGTCCTCGCTCGGGGCCGCATCGGAGGCCTCCTCCTCCTCCTCCTCCTCCTCATTCTCCTCCTCCTCCTCCTCCCTCCTCCTCCTCCTCCTTCCCCCTCCTCCTCCTCCTCCTCCTCCTCCTCCTCCCTCCTCCTCCTCCTCCTCCTCCTCCTCCTCCTCCTCTTCCTCCTCCTCCTCCTCCTCATCCTCACCCTGCTCCGCATCCTCCTCATCCTCCTCACCCCACACTCCTCGCTCCTTCTGCTCCAACCTCCCTCCCCCAACCTGCGTGGTCCTGCCCATCACCTCTGCCCTGCTCCCCCCTCTCCACCGACCTCTCTCCAACGACCTCCCTTTCTCCCGCGGGAGCCCGGAAAATGCGGCGGGCGCCCGCAGAGCCTTCTGAGACGGCGTGGCTCGGAGAACTGGCAACTGGTGCGCACGCCCCACCGCGTCCGAGGAATGGAATGGAATTGGCTCTATCGCGGTGCGATATTCACTAGATGCCACCCCCTGAACTTGTCGAAATACCCGACGAACTGGAAGGCGACGAAGAACGGCCCTCCCCTGAGCACCCCGAGCGGCACGACAACAAGGAAGTGCATCAGGCCAACTTAACCAGGGAGGCCCGAAGTAGTAGGACCGGGAGCTGAAAGAGCCTGAGGTTGACGAACAAAGACGACCAAGCCCCATATGGATTCCTCACCCCACCAGGATACTGAAGCAAATTTGGCTGAAATGAAATCGGCTCGATACGGCTCTACTGTGTCACAGATAATCGAGCAACCTTTCACGTATGTCATCCAGATCGCCTCCTCCACACACAGCCTCGTAAGACAACTTCCGAAGTGTTGCTTCTTCCCTCTTGCACCCAAACCAGTACCTCGGGAAATATACACACAAAAATTACTCCGACGGTAGGACCCCGCACGAGAATCTGTTTAGCTTACCCTTTGCCCTTTCCTCCTCCCCCTGGTGGACACCCTCTCCTCTCGCCCTCTGCACTGCCCTCTCTTCCTCATTCTATTCCTTTTCCTACTTATCCTCCTCCTCCTCCTCCTCCTCCTCCTCCTCCTCCTCCTCCTTCTCCTCCTCCTCCTCCTCCTCCTCCTCCTCCTCTCGCGCCACCTCCTCCTCGTCGTCGCCCTCCCCCATGCCCCTTCCCTCCTCATCCTCCTGCTTCTTTCCATGTGCACCTCCCGTCCCCCCTGGTCGTGGCAAGCAACTCGATTTTCCTCGGCGCCGTCGCCGCGTCGGCCAGCACGCGCGCGTTTGCCGACGGCTAGATCGCGAAGCCGTCGGGACAACCCTTCGGGCCAGGCCGTTGGGGCAACCTCGCAGGCCGCAGGGGCGCGGGAGCCAGCCGCTGGGACAACTCCGCGGGCCTCTAGGTGCGCGCCGCGGCGCTCAGGCAGGCGGCAGCACGAAGACCAGCTCTGCCGCGAGCTGCTCCGCCTCAGCCCTGGAATCCACCGCTCTCTTGTCGAACTCCTGGAGCGCCTTCAAGTTGCCGACTACAACAAATTGCCGACGACCAGCTCGGACGACGCTACCCGGACTTCTCAATCGCCCTTTCGGGCACGCAGGCCCATGACAACAACAAGTTTGCCCGCGACCAGTTCAGACAGACGAGACTCCCGCTTGGTAACTCCCCGGTATTCAGGCCGCAGGAGCGAGTTCTAAAATCCGTCCTCAGACCTCCAAGTGACGACAGGAGACGGTCCTTTGACGGGGCTACCCGCACCGCCCACAGACAAAGTTCCCCCTTGATATTTCCCCGTGTTCAGGCCGCAGGAGCTGAGGAGCCCAAAAAGCTCGCTCGGATGACCCGCTCGGGTTCGAACGTGAAGTGCGTGCCCCACAGGGAGGGGGTTCCCGCCTGAGACTTCCTCGCAATTCACTCACAGACGAGGTTCCCGCTCGAGACTTCCTTCATATTCAAGCCTCAAGAGCCCAAAAGTGACGACGGTTACAGGGTTCCGATGACCCGCTCGGATTAGTCACATGATCGGCGGGCCTCATAAGGAGGGCGCTCCAGCATGACACGTCCTCGCAATTCACTCAGAGACGAGGCTTCCGCCTGATACTTCCTCCATATTCAGGCCTCAAGAGCGCAAAAGTGACGACAGTTACAAGGTTCCGATGACCCGCTCGGATTAATAACATGATCTGCGGGCCCCATAAGGAGGGGGCTTCCGCTTGAGACTTCCTTGCAATTCACTCACAGGCGAGGCTCCCGCCTGATACTTCCTGCATATTCAAGCCTCAGGGGCCCAAAAGTGACGACAGTTACAGGCTTCCGATGACCCGCTCGGATTCGTAACATGATCTGCGGGCCCCATAGGGAGGGGACTCCCGCTTGAGACTTCCTCGCAATTCGCTCACAGACAAGGCTCCCGATCGTCCCGAAACCCAGCAGACCAAGCGAGTGCACCAACGATCCCCGCACACAACCACCGCCCCCCCCTCGCAGTCACCCCCTATGAATACATATATATATATATATATATATATATGTCCTGGACTTCGGAACAAACGTTCTGCTCGCGTCAAGGACCTTCGAGCAAAGCGCCCTCCTCCTCCTCCTCCTCCTGTTCCTCCGCCCCCTCCCTTCTCCTGCTCCTGCTCCTCCTCCTCATCCTCCTGCTCCCCCTCCCCCTCCGCACCCCCATGCCCTTCCTCACGATCCCCCGCCTCCTCCTCCTCCTCCTGTTCCTCCTCCTCATCCTCGTTCCTGTCATTTCCCTCCCTGTTGAGCCCAGAAACAGGCGAACCGCCTGAGACATCCCCACAATATGGCCGCGAACGTGCCCGTGCAACCACCCCTGGCGGCTCCCCATACGGGTGCTGCAACCAGCGCCCCGCTTGAGACATCGTCACAATCTGCTCCCCATGCGAAGGATGTTGAGCCCAGAAACAAGCAAACCGCCTGAGACATCCCCACGAAATGGCCGCGAACGAGCCCGTGCAACCACCCCACCCCTGGCGGCTCCCCTTAGGGGTGCTGAAACCAGCGCCCCGCCTGAGACATCCTCACAATCTGCTGCCCAAGGGAAGGATGTTGAGCCCGGAAACAGGCAAACCGCCTGAGACATCCCCACAAAAAAAATGTTTTCAAATCCCCTCGGTGGTTCCGTTGGGCTGCCTGACACTCCCTCACAATTCACTCACAGACGAGGCTCCCGCTTGATATTCCTCCATATTCATGCCTCAGGAGCCCAAAAGTGAAGACAGATACAGGTTCGAGGATGACACGCTCACATTAATATGTAAACTGCGCGCCCCATAGGGAGGGGGCTCCCGCCTGAGACTTCCTCACAATTCACTCACAGACGAGGCTCCCGCTTGATACTTCCTCCAATTTCAAACCTGATGAGCCCAACAATGACGACAGTTACAGGCTTCCGATGACCCGCTCGGATTCGTAACATGATCTGCGGGCCCCATAGGGAGGGGGTTCCCGCTTGAGACTTCCTCGCAATTCGCTCACAGACGAGGGTCCCGCCTGATACTTCTTCCAAATTCAGACCTGAGGAGCCCAGAAGTGACGACAGTTACAAAAATCCGATGACCCGCTCGGATTAATAACATGATCTGCGGGCCCCATAGGGAGGAGGCTCCCGCCTGAGAGTTGCTCGCAATTCACTGACAAACGAGGCTCCCGCCCGATACTTCCTCCAAATTCAAACCTGAGGAGCCCAAAAGTGACGACAATTACAGGAATCCGATGACCCGCTCGGATTAGTCACATGATCTGCGGGCCCCATAGGGAGGGGGCTCCCGCCTGACGCGTCCTCACACTTCACTCACAGATGAAGGTCCCGCTCGACACTTCTTCCAAATTCAGACCTGAGGAGCCCAGAAGTGACGACAGGTACAAGAATCCGATGACCCGCTCGGATTAATAACATGATCTGCGGGCCCCATAGGGAGGGGGCTCCCGCCTGAGACTTCCTCACAATTCACTCACAGACGAGGCTCCATGTTGGTGGATGATGGTGATGGGATGATGACGACGGTGTTTGATGATGATACATGATTGATGATGATGAGGATGATGATGATGATGATGATGGTGGTGGTGATGATGACGACGTGATGATGATGAGGATGATGATGGTGGTGATGATGAGTGCTGATGGTGAGTGATCGTGCGATTCTGATGGTAAATGGTGGTGATGATGATGGGGACGAAGTGGTGAGTCAGCGAGTGGTGATGATGATGATGATGATGATGATGATGATGATCGTTCGATGCCGATGATGGTGAGTGATCGTGCGATGGTGATGGTGATGCTGATGGTGATGATGATGATGAGTGGGGAGTGATGGTGATGGTGATGATGATGCGGAGGAGGAAGCAAAGAGGAGCAGAGGAGAGGGAGGAGGACGAGAGATCCTGCGCGGAGGGTGCGCAGAGAAAATTACTCCGACGGTAGGACCCCACACGAGAATCTGTTTAGCTTACCCTTTGCCCTTTCCTCCTCCCCCTGGCGGACACCCTCTCCTCTCGCCCTCTGCACTGCCCTCTCTTCCTCATTCTATTCCTCTTCCTACTTCTCCTCCTCCTCCTCCTCCTCCTCCTCCTCCTCCTCCTCTCGCGCCACCTCCTCCTCGTCGTCGCCCTCCCCCATGCCCCTTCCCTCCTCATCCTCCTGCTTCTTTTCCATGTGCACCTCCCGCCCCCCCTGGTCGTGGCAAGCATCTCGATGTTCCTCGGCGCCGTCGCCGCGTCGGCCAGCACGCGCGCGTTTGCCGACGGCTAGATCGCGAAGCCGTCGGGGCAACCCTTCGGGCGAGGCCGTTGGGGCAACCTCGCAGGCCGCAGGGGCGCGGGAGCCAGCCGTTGGGACAACCCCGCGGGCCTCTAGGTGCGGGCCGCGGCGCTCAGGCGGGCGGCAGCACGAAGACCAGCTCTGCCGCGAGCTGCTCCGCCTCAGCCCTGGAATCCACCGTTCTCTTGTCGAACTCTTGGAGCGCCTTCAAGTTGCCGGCTACAACAAGTTGCCGACGACCAGCTCGGACGATGCTACCCGGACTTCTCAATCGCCCTTTCGGGCACGCAGGCCCATGACAACAACAATTTTGCCCGCGACCAGTTCAGACAGACGAGACTCCCGCTTGGTAGCTCCCCGGTATTCAGGCCGCAGGAGCGAGTTCTAAAATCCGTCCTCAGACCTCCAAGTGACGACAGGAGACGGTCCTCCGACGGGGCTACCCGCACCGCCCACAAACAAAGTTCCCCCTTGATACTTCCCCGTGTTCAGGCCGCAGGAGCTGAGGAGCCCAAAAAGCTCGTTCGGATGACCCGCTCGGGTTCGAACATGAAGTGCGTGCCCCACAGGGAGGGGGCTCCCGCCTGAGACTTCCTCGCAATTCACTCACAGACGAGGCTCCCGCTCGAGACTTCCTTCAAAATCAAGCCTCAAAAGCCCAAAAGTGACGACAGTTACAAGGTTCCGATGACCCGCTCGGATTAGTCACATGATCGGCGGGCCTCATAAGGAGGGCGTTCCAGCCTGAGACGTCCTCGCAATTCACTCAGAGACGAGGCTTCCGCCTGATACTTCCTCCATATTCAAGCCTCAAGAGCCCAAAAGTGACGACAGTTACAAGGTTCCGATGACCCGCTCTGATTAATAACATGATCTGCGGGCCCCATAGGGAGGGGGTTCCCGCCTGAGACTTCCTCGCAATTCACTCACAGACGAGGCTCCCGCCTGATACTTCCTGCATATTCAAGCCTCAGAGGCCCAAAAGTGACGACAATTATAGGCTTCCGATGACCCGCTCGGATTCGTAACATGATCTGCGGGCCCCATAGGGAGGGGGTTCCCGCTTGAGACTTCCTCGCAATTCACTCACAGACAAGGCTCCCGATCGTCCCGAAACCCAGCAGACCAAGCGAGTGCACCAACGATCCCCGCACACAACCACCGCCCCCCCCTCGCAGTCACCCCCTATGTATATATATAATATTTATTATATACTATTAGATATACATATATATATATATATATACACACATATATATGTCCTGGACTTCGGAACAAACGTTCTGCTCGCGTCAAGGACCTTCGAGCAAAGCGCCCTCCTCCTCCTCCTCCTCCTGTTCCTCCGCCCCCTCCCTTCTCCTGCTCCTGCTCCTCCTCCTCATCCTCCTGCTCCCCCTCCCCCTCCGCACCCCCATGCCCTTCCTCACGATCCCCCGCCTCCTCTTCCTCCTCCTCCTGTTCCTCCTCCTCATCCTCGTTCCTGTCATTTCCTTCCCTGTTGAGCCCAGAAACAAGCAAACCGCCTGAGACATCCCCACAATATGGCCGCGAACGTGCCCGTGCAACCACCCCTGGCGGCTCCCCATAGGGGTGCTGCAACCAGCGCCCCGCTTGAGACATCGTCACAATCTGCTCTCCAAGCGAAGGATGTTGAGCCAGAAACAAGCAAACCGCCTGAGACATCCCCACAAAATGGCCGCGAACGAGCCCGTGCAATCACCCCTGGCGGCTCCCCTTAGGG